TTGTAAGACCACGATTTTTTATGTAGGACTTAATTAGTATTTCACTAAGTTAAAACCAGATAAAACACATACTTAAAAGCATGTCTCTGTTAGTCGTTTCAAAATATTTTAACTTGTCTACCAAATTAAATGGATTATGAGTTTTTGCACAAACTAATTTACATTTTTAAAGTCCTTCTTTACGTCTGACACTACTCACCCTACACAACTACCTATAGTATTAGTTCTATTTTGGTAAGGGTTCACTTAACGTAAAATTATGATTATGTAAACATTTTTCATATAAAATAAAACATCCCCACCTCATTCATACTAAATTTATTCCCAATTGTAAATTTTAAATAACGGCGTTATCTCGTTCGTTACCTTGTAGAATCAGCTTCCAGGAATATTCCAAATATCTTGGGAATTCCGTGAAGCGATGACGGAAAGGCGGGAATGATCAGAAGTGAAGAAATCAAATATTTTTGTGATCGATGCTCAAAGGCGCTTGGCCGGATGTGTGTTAGCATAACGATCCTCAATCAGCGCATAGCGGATAGGACCTCCTTCGCCGCCAACTCTCACATTCATATGTATGAGGAGGAATACTCACACACATGCAATAGGGTCGACCTTGAAAAATCAGCTTGGAACGTAAAAAATGTGCTTTTTAGCTATATCTTTTAGGGGAAAATATGCAATGCTAGAAACACTTAAGTGATTTTCTCACGATTATCGTACGAACGTAAAACCCCCCATAATTGTATAACTAAAACATGGGTCAACTAGAAATCATTACAAACATATCCAATTTTAGCTGTTTTTAATATTTTAAAATCACAAATTTTTAGTTTCAATTTGTCACAAACGAGTGTCACAAGAAATTTTTCACCACACTATGATGTTTTCAGCTTTTTTACATACGGTAATTGGTGGCTGAAAGCTACGTTTTGCTGACCATACTAGCTGTCATCGTCATTTGGGGACCGAGCAGGTTTTTACATCCCTAGAGCCGCAAAATCAGCTGCCCGCTTACTTTCTTAAAACATGAATGCATATTAAATACACAATCAGTATCCATAGCATTGCGATAGAATTGGTTTTTGTCACCACTGCCAAGCAACTATTATTATTTTTGCTGATTCCTCAAATTATTTCTTCACATAAAGTTGTAGTTAGCGAAAATTCTGCGAGGAAAACCGTTAGCCTCAACAAAGACGTCTGTTTTTCTGTCTCCAGGTATTAAATTATAATTACATAAATTCTGTTGAATATTATGAACTTCATTGTTTAGCATCGTTAAACAATCTACATCTAGTAAACCACCTTTTTTGCCACTCTAACAATCCCTCTCAAATATATTTCCAAATGAATATCCCATTGCTAATAAAATAGATATGTGTAAGGTGATTCTCTCCTTAGGGAAAACTTATTTTACTTTGGCAAAATCAAATTCTCTATATTCAGGCCCGTTTTTGACCCTGTCAGCGCCCTAGGCACAACTAATAGTAGCGCCCCTTTGCAATATACATAACAGGGTGTCCACAAATCGGGAAAACTGGGAAATCCGTGAATTATGAGTGAGTTTTTTAAACCGGGAATTATGCATTAAATTTGTATTTTCTACCTGGAATTGTCATTTTTCCGTGATCCCGCATAACAACAGACCGCCATGATGATATCTACAAAGCCACGAGGGATGATCAGAATATTGCCGCGATCACGGAAAACCATGATAATGCCCACGCGACCGCGGGAAACAGCAAGAATTTGCCCACGATCGCCGAAGACGATAATGATCTCCACACAACTGCGGGAAATTATTAACATTTTGCCGCAATTGCGGGAGGCGATTAGGATGTTTTCACGACCGCTGAAGATGATTAGGATGGTTACAGGACTGCGGGAGATACAATAATAATAGGCCTACGAGAGGGATGTAGAATTATGCCGCGATCGTGCAAGACGATGATAATGTCCACATGACCGCGGGAAAAAATCAGAATTTTTCCATTGACGGAAGACGATGATCTCCACATGGTCGCAGGAGATGATTACCATTTTGCCCCAATGGCGGGATGCGATTACTATGTTCAAACGATCACTGGGAACAATATAAAGATGTCTTCACGGCCGTGAGGGGTAATCATAATTTTATTGCGATCGCGCAAGAATATGTAATGTCCGTCCACTCGATCGCAGGAAAATATCAAAATTTTTTGCCTTATTTGCGGAAGACGGTAGGCCTAATGATCTCCAAAAGAGCGTGGGAGATTAATACTATTTTGCTGCAATCGCAGGAGGCGATTACCATATCTACATGACCGCGGGTGACAACTTAATGATGTCTTTACGGCCGCGAGTGTTGATCAGATTTTGCCCACGATCGCGCAAGGCGATGATAATGTCCACACGACCACGGTAAAAGATAAGAATTTTGCCTCATTCACGGTAGACGATGACAATCTCCTCACGACCGCGGAATATGTTCATATATTGCCGCGATCATGGAAGACGATAATTATTTCTACACGACCGCGGAAAATAGTCAGAATTTTGCCGCAATCGCGGGAGACGATTACGATGTCTACACGGCCGCGAGGGATCATCAGAAGTTTACCGCGATCGCATGCAAATACAACCACAATTTTTTTATTTTCCAATTTTTTGGCGCCCCCAAAAAAAACCAATTGCCTCGCGCCCTAGGCACGTGCCTACCGTGCCTATTCGGTAAATCGGCCCTGTCTATATTATTATTGTGAGAGAAATAAACCATCCAGGGCAACTAAAATTTTTCTTTTTGAGAACGGGTGTATTTACAAAAACACTTCCCCTATAAAATAAGTGTAGATGTTTAAGGTGCTGGATCGCCACAATTTTAAACACAGATATTTATGTAGAGCGAATAACATAACATAGTTTTAAATGTGTTCATTTTATTCATGTAAAATAAATATACAACTCCACCTTGGCTGAGAAAGGTTAGGTCTGGATTCAACATTAGATTTGTCAGAGTGGACAGAAGGGCGGTGTAAGGACAACTCGAACAGTCTTCAGTTCTCAGGTCAGGTACTAGGAACAGATTAAGGACAGGGATTTGGTGCAATCAGGCCCAATCGACTTAGGCTGAATTTTCTGGTCCGATGGATCTTTATTTAACACCCGTTCTTTGAGTGAAATCGACAAATGTCTCAGACATACAGTATCATGTTCGTGTCGTGGTGGAATCTTATTTTTAATTTTTTTTACGTAAGAGATTTTTATAAATATAAGTCGTTGGATAAAAAAATATGATGTTAGATACAGCTTGCAGGGCCAGTTTTTCGTCCTGATGGAACAGCTGAAGCCAGTTTTCTTGTTAGTTCTGTCCGGTCGTGTTTTGTTTACAATTTTCTTGTTATTTCAGTAAATTATAACCACAAAATGACTAAACAAAACGATCCCATCGTAAACAATAATTCGCCCCCACAATAATATATCAAAACAGAAAAGCAAAAAATCATTAAATGTTTTTCTAAATGAATAGAAAAGAAATTTCGTCGACACTAATGATCAGTGTTGGATGTTAAAATATGAACTTGATACGAAAAACGAGCAGCTTCAAAATTTACAATGTATTGAGAAGTCTACTTGTTAGTCTATGATTTTACTCAAACTCGTTGATTATTTCACTCTAGATCTCAACGTTGTATCAAGTTTAAAGTATGGGAGTAAGTTAATTTTGACTATGGCTGGAACCAGAGATTCAATTCACTTCAATCACTTGTATTATTTTGTAAAATGTTATAATGTTAAAATGTAATCTTACTTGTATTATTTTGTAAAATTGCGATTTCCGGAAATGAATAATAAATAAATTCCATTAAAAGTTGTAGCCAGTTTTAGATTATGGATTATGAATTTAAATTATGTTTTAGCCTTCTACAATCCACAGAGTATGGTCATAAATAAAACATACTCCCTTAGTTAACCATCGATGTATGGTTATAACTTGTGTTGGTTAGTCTATGGTATGATGTTAGCAGTTATTAATTATTGTCGTACAGTAACTGACTTAAACCGTCCATGGTTGTATCCACTAAAACCATCGGAAAGGCCAACTTTTGTAACTCATGTCGTTTAATATAGTCCTAAATGAAAGATATATTTTTACAGTTTATACAGGGTGATTGATATAAGTGTGCCAGCCGTTTTATTCGAAAACCATAAGAGATATCAAAAAAACTTAAATGGTAAGTGCCTTGGACGTTTTATTAAAAAAATTTTGGTAAAGTCGAAAAAATTATTTTAGCCGCTATTTTTCCAATATGGCCGCCAACTATGATTTTTCTAACGGAACACCCTGTATTTTAAGAAATGTAATTTTAAGACGATTTTATTCTTGTGATTTTTTTCATAAACCTAACCGTTTCAAAGATAATAAAGGTTTTAGTTGTGAAATTTTGAATGGTTTTCGAATTAAACAGCTGGCATGCTTGCTTAAAGCCTTATCGAAACTTTCTCATGCAGAAATTTCAAAACTTTAACCATTATTTTCTTTGAAACGGTTAGGTTTATGAAAAAAATTAAAAGAATAAAATCGTCTTAAAATTACATTTTCTACCAGAATACATCATAAAATACAGGGTGTTTTATAAGAAAAATCAAAGTTGGCGGCCACATTGGAAACATGGCGGCTAAAATAATTTTTTTGACTTGACTACAATTTTTTAAATAAAAAATCCAAGGCACTTACCCTTTAACTTTTTTTGATATCTCTTATAGTTTTCAAATAAAACGGCTGGCACACTTATATCAATCACCCTGTATATGACATAATTTCGTTAAAAAGTAAACCGCATAGAATGTACACGCTATAAGGATAGGAATGAGGATAACAATGTTAAAACTACTTTCACTTACCAAACTCATGGGGCGTTACAATTTCTGTTAAAACATATTAAAAAAGATATATTTTCTAAATAAGAAAAAAATAATTTGTAGTCATTTCTTCAAATAAGGATAAATTACAACCACACTTCGTTGGAATAAGGTTTATTATTCTTACTTAACTTAAAACAGATTTGGGTTCTTGTTTATTATTATATCGGTTGGTAACCCTTTACTGGTGTCCTGGTGAGTCGGAATCGTCGAATCTCTTAAGAGTGTCAAATAAAGTCCATTTCATCATCACAACACTTGGAAGCTAAAGGTAGGCAAGGAACTATGTTAATGTATCAGGGGAAATGAGTTAGTATTGTTGAAAACTATACCTAGTAAAAAGGTGTTAAGGATTTAAAATTGAAGTTTCAGGTATTAATTTGGATGGGAAGAATCACACTTGCGATTTATTTGGTTGTTCATTTTGCTCGGGACTTTTAGAATTCTTAGGCCACAGAGGTAGCTTTAACACTTTCTTCAAACTCATTGGCGTCCGTTTTTCAGTATAGTTCTTGTAAGATGTGATCGGGAATCTTACTCGTCTTAAACAAAATTACTGGAACAAAGAAATTGTTTAGTTCAAATCAAACCCAATACAACAGTGAAATCCAGAATCAACAGAAATAGCTTTGAATGTAGTAATAGGCAATGTTCTAGCCATGGATTAAGGATACGTTGGATATCATGGGCTTGGAAACAACACATCACTTTTTTTAGCGAAGATTCGAGTACGACTGAGATGCCCAGTTGAAGCAATATTTTTATGAGATCAATAGTTTTCTTGCATTCAACACCAAATAGCATAAATAGGATGTGACTACCCTACCAATTTCTGTGGATTTCGACTATGTTGCTTTGAAACTTGACATTAAAATTACAAATGGGCCGTCAAATGCAGTATCTATATTCCGATATACATTAAATACATGACGAACTATACTGAAAAACAAACAATTTGAACCACTTTAAGCCACCGATCGCGTGATGACTTTAAAATCAGGGAGATCATGCAATTACTTCAAACACTCCACATTTGTCTATAGCGCCAGAACTCCTTCGTTGCTTGAATCCTCCTTGTCCTTGTTCTTCTCGGCTTGTTCTCTCAAGGAGTTGAGTAGCGTAGACTCCTTGGAGTTGAGGAAGGACTCCAGGCTGGCCACTGGCTGGGTGGACTGAACGATGCCCGCGGGAGCGATGGCCTCTGGAGGCCCTCGGTTGCCGAGCTCAGAGTCACCCAGGGGAGGCTGATAGTAAAGAACCTCTGGAGTGGCAACGGATGACGGGAAGTTGAGGACTGTCACGGTCTGTGGTTTGGGACGCTTGACGTCGATGGCGTTGGACACCTCCTTGGTGGGGGCCGATGGAACAGCGGGGGCCCCGGGGACCGAGTTGTAGTAAGCAGGGCCAGTGAGGCTGGTGGGGACAGAGTTGTAGTAAGCGGGGCCAGCGGGGGCTGAAGTGTAGTAGGCGGGGGTGTAGCTAGGCTGGAACTGCGAGACTGGTAGAACCTGAGTCTGTTGGTAGGCGGGGGAGCTGTAAATTAAAGAAATGTTATAATAGCAAAATGTTTCTAAACATACTAAAAACTCAGATGTAACTATATTTTTTGATTAGATTGAAACTCTTCCTTTATTTTGAACCGTATCATTGAGCTGCGTTTGAATCTACAAAGTTTCGGAGACGTTGCAGTTCATCATCATCAGATCTTAAATACAGTCAAAACTACTCCTTGACTACGACTATGCTTACACTTTGACTCAAATAAGCTAACCGAGGAGGACGAGCAGTTTGTCTATTTGCAGTTTGCGGATATGTCAATTAACAATAGTAATAGTGTATTTACACTTATACTGTTTACTCACAAGACATGAATACATATAAAAGATGGTAAGTTGTGATCGATTTCGATTGTACACTCCAATCATCATCATACCTAATAGGCGAATGACAAGAATCTCAATGGCGTCGCTTATACTATTGGCTACCGTAATTTATTGAGAATAGTCAGGTGTGACATTGTGGAAAAGTAATCAAAATCTACGATGTTTCATGTACAGCATATGCAAAATATTTAGCAATACTAACCCACACCTAAAATATAACAATAATTGCGACTATTAACTTGCAACATACTGGAAGTTTTTGTTTAAAAGTTAAGACTTAAAAGTGCAATCACACAATGTACAAACCACAATGTATACATCTTGACTTGCATTATATGCATTTGGAAAACACATTTACGTTTATTGTCATGCATACAAATCTTTATATTATAAGGTCTTCAAAAGGAACAGGAGGTTCATTTACAATAAATGTAATTAAAATTGTTTGGACGAGAAGTTGGACTTTTACAACGTTATAAGCCAAACTCAAACAATCAACACTCAACATCCAGTGCACGTTACAGAAGGTAATTGGCATGTTCCTCAGCGAATTACAGCAATCAACTTATCATGGATACGAATCAGTAGGCAATTGAACCCTGATATCATATGCAGATAATGCTGTGGTATGCGGTGCTATGTGGCCTGCATATGCTACTAGCGGATCCTCGAATGGTTAGGCAAGAACTAAACTGCAGCATAAGCATAGTCAAGCTGGAATTCAGTTCAGGTCTAGAGAGGACGGATCAAACCATGAGCAAACTTTAGTAAAATTAACTTTCTGATCTACTATGTTGCTTGAATGAGTAAAAAAAAAAACGATCGTAAATTGAAATATATTTCTTGTGAAATAAGAAGAAGACAGAAATGTGTATCTCGTTCTATAACTTTGGTCAGATATTTTGTATTTTGCTTTCATATTGGAAGAGATTGGAAGAAAAGAAAGGAGAAAAACGCAATCAAATGTATTCAAAATTTTTGCTACCTCCGTCTTCATGTTACACAATTATTTAATAAAAAAAAAACCATTAGCTACTCAAACTATTTTAATTAAATTAAGATACTAATTTCATATTGAATATGTATTGTATTTTTTTTGGGGGGGGGGGGAGAAACAACTATTTTATGCTAGACTAACCAGGCCCAACCTGCAAATATAGAATTTGGGGGCCCTGAGATTCTGACTGGATTCCCAATTTACCTGTAGGCGAAAGGGTCGTAGTAAGGATATTGCAGAGGTAGTGGTCCGGAGGGGATGGCGTACACCACCCTTACAAGCTGGGGGCGGTCTAGACCCTGGTGAGGAACGGGAGCGACCACGGAGCCTACTGGAAGCCCCATCCTTAGGCCTCCGTAGAGCACTGACAACTCTGCTGGAAACGGGATGGAGTGCTGTTGGGGAGAGATGTAGAGAGGGCGTTTCAGAACCACTTGTACAGCTGGCATTGCCTCCTGCAACAAGTAGACCACATTACTTACTTAGTCCCATGGCCATAGATACCCTAGGTGGTATTAGTCCTCACAAAGAAGTTATCTTCTCTCCCTGTCATCCGTATCTTCTTGCCTGGATCTCAATTTTCACAAATCATTCTTCACCTGGTCCTTCCAGTTATTCTTGAGTCATCTTGCCATTGAGTTTTGTCTTAAAGCCTCTTCAATTGATATTCTTGATTTGTCTTCCTGATCTAGTGATCTTCCCTTAACATAGCCTGCCCACCTTAGTTTCTTGTTCTTTGACTCTTCCACTATGTCTGGGGAATGGAACATTTCTCTGATTTCTTGGTTGTGCCTAGTCTTTCATGATTCTCCCTCTCTAAAACAAGATTGGTGGAAGAATATATAATGAAATTTTAGGACATTTGTTATTAATAACGCCAAAGGTATTCTGAATGAAAGAAACAGAAACCCGAATGAATACCAAGTAAGAGAGTATTTTTGGGAATAAACTCATCCCCTCTAACAAAAGATCAAGTTTCTAAACACTGATCAAACAGATTAATAACTAAAATAAGATATACAGTGAATAATGTCATAGTTGTATAAGGCATGGCCCTTTTTGAAGCCTATTGAACTAAACATTAAGTTTCCGAGTTACTCTAAAAACTTTTCCTAATCGTATTAATAAGAAAGTTTTTCGATTAAGTCACATGCCGATTGTGCCACTGTGAAACCTCATTTTCATTTTTCAAATATCACTTCTTTCATTGTGCTAAACAGATCGGGCAGCCCGTCTGTAGCATTGTTACAAAACTGACATAGTTAGACTCATTCAATTGTGTCCTTTAAAAAACTGGCCACAGCTATTCCATTTTAACGGGATGTGTACTCCACTAACCAAAGTCAATGCTACAGACCATAGATGTACGGGTTCACTACACCTGATGTACACCCTCGTTAAAGAAGAGCGAGCGCTTGTATGCTAATAACATCTAATACCCGAGTGGGTCGGTCTCCGGGCAATTTACATGCTAAACCGTCTTCATCGGGTTTGCATACAAGACAAAGGTTTATTTTGACAACATTTGACCTGCAGTTGTAGTAGAGTGAATCTTGCCGTTGAATTAATAGGTATTGCTCACATTAGCATAGTTATTGATACCAAAAACAGGATGTAGTTTGTAATACCTAAGAGACTTGAGTAGCCTACAATTTTATGACGTAAGTTTTTAATTTTTGTATTAGTTGTAGCAATGTTATAGTGCTAATTATGGTAGTGCTAAAGATTTCATCAACGAAAAGTAGTTGAAAACATTCTAGTTTGGCTGTGATATTCCCGTTTCACATTGGTTTCCTAATCCATCTAACGCTAAAGAACGATCTAAAAATATGGGTAATTCAACTTATGTTTTAGTGTTTGGTTTAGGATCTAACTTTCATAAACGTCAAAACAATAATTTTCATGTAATGCATCGTATGATGTAGGCAATACTTACAGTGTAGTATCCCTGACCAGCACCGGTCCTGCAGGTGACCAGAGGTTCTGTTGGTGATACTCCGCTGATCTCAGCGTTCCTGATCATGTTGAGGCGGTTCTGGTCGACCATGACCAGGGGTACGTTTGCCAGGTACTTGGCCGTGCTGTAGGGCGACTCCGCGATCACAGCCAGGGGGTAGGACGTGGGAGGGTAGGCGGCGGGGTACCCGAACCCGACGGCAGCCTGGGCTACGGAGCATACTGCAACCAGGATCTGTGGAGAGGGTACAATTAGTGGGTGTCATTGGACAAGTTCAAAATTATTTTAAAGAAGTAAATATTTTTAAATTGTACCATCCTACGGTACGATTAGATACACATTTTTTAAGTCCCACCTTCACATCCTAGAATGCTAGGTTCTAGTCCGCAACTGTTTTGCACATTACTTCAGGTTAGACCTAGATTGTCGTGGCGTTACCACATAGATAAAAATCCATTGGTGATTGGCGTGGTTTGAACCCGGAACCACGCGCTCCAAAACCCAGTAGGCTACCACTAGATAAGCTCGCTCCCCTAGCTATACATTACTGTATTGTTTATTGAAGAGATAACTAGATTCATTTATTATTTATGGCTTGTCTTAATTAGCGGTATTATCATGGAGGTTACTGTAGGCCTACTTATAAAGACTGTCAAAATGTATGTATTTATTTGTGATATAGGGACAATGATCAATGAATGTTTGAGAATGTGGGTGTTTTCAAAGGGTTCCCTATGTTGTAAAGGTAGAAAATGTGTTTTAAATTAGATATTATGTTTCTTTACCAATCATTCGCAAACATACTACTATTCCGATGGATCTCATATCTCATTTCCCTATCGAATGTATCAGAAAACAGAGTTTGGCCGGTTAAATTTTGATAAAATTTGGAAAAATAAAGTACCTATATTTCTAAAAGAAAATATAATTAATTCCTAATAGAAAATATAATCAATTTCCACACGAATAAACTAATTGTCACAACTTAGAAAGCTATGTAATCTTTTGTAATATGTCTCTATCTTAAATTAAAAATTAAAGGGAAATTTGTGAATTTTTGCAGCCTGCAACTACTCTATGGGGATTAAAAAAGTCATGTTCGCTACCGATTTTCAGCAACTAGAAAATTGGACGATTATGGTTAACATATTCAACTGAGTAAACCCTAAAAATGATTCTCATGATGTATATTTAGTATTGCATTACTTCTCTTTAGAAGATACGAACTGTTCTAAGATTCTGTGTTTTCACGAGTCTCTCATTAAAATAAAGGATTGCACCAACCTTCCATAGCACAAAATTAGCTTTTCTTAGTCCAATAGCGAAATTTGAAAGTTCTTTGTGCTGGATAAAACTGTTAAACAACCTAAAAGTCAACAATAATTTGTACAGTGTAAAAATTCCCATAGTGTAAGTTGAACTCTCGGTTCAAAATTCCCATAGACATTGCCAGCTACTGGGCAGGTTGATCATATGGAATGGTCTTCACGCATATTTATGGTGCCCCGCCAACATTCCAAGACCAAACTGGCAACTTACTTATGGTAGGGAAACCCGCTCTTGAAATGTTGTGGGGAAAGGTTAGAATATAGTTACATATTCAGTGGGTGTTATGATCTTTTATACGAGGATAAAATCGTTATATTAAATCTAAATGATGATTTAGGTCTTAAAATATAACACTGTGTATACATTTTGTTATAACATGAAAATTTGTTCTTTAAATTCTAGATAGAAAATAGTGCTTTCTGTGACTTGTGTACATTATAGATAGCATTTTTTGTATATAGATATTCTAGAAAGTTGCCATAAACAGTTTCTGTTTTACACTTAATTTATGGGTTGGGTTTTGAGAGCTTTTACTCACTATAAACCTTAAAGACATTATCCCATAGAAATTTAGTATTTACGAGTTCTATAAATATTTTTGTAATTTTATTTTGTTCATCAGTAACAATATTTAGCTTTAGAGGAATTTTCAAAACTACTGATATCAGAACGGTCCCTCAAAGAGTAAATGGACAAATGTTAATCAACCAATTCGCGTTTTTTGTTCTATAAAAGTTCAGAAAAAAAAAATATATATCAAAAAATAGGCGTAATCAGATAAATGTAGACTCTATCGCGACTAAAGTTAACGAATTATTAGAACTAAAAAGTCGAAGTATACGCCTAGTACGACCCAAATAATCGAATGCAACTTTGACTTATTAATAGGTATCACGATTTCAGTACGCTAATGCCTCAGTTATGTACTGTTTACACTGTGATATCAATACTAGAATGTATCTTTTCAAGTATACTACGTCACAAACATTCGTGTGATATACTTCAAATAGATTACGAACCCAATATTCTAGTTCTTTAGTAAAAAAATAAATAAGACTCACTATTTTAGCTCTTAAGTTTAAGAATATTACGATGACACTGCCCAAATTTATCAGTTCAAGTATACTAAATTGCTAATATTCGAATGATAGATTTCAAGTATACAACTATCCTAATATTCCAATTCCTCAGTTTATTTGTACAATGGCTAAATAAACTAAACGATTTCGTACAAACAAGGATTAGGGAGAAAATCCCTGTCAAAAATTCCCACTCTTCACAGCGTTACACCCACCGATAATTTTACTTTTATACAAATTTTAAACCATCTTTTACTTCAGGAGGAAAATTTCACCTAAGTATATTTCATACTATACCCCACAACGCTGTTTAAGAAAATATCTGACAACACCACGTTACTTTGGGGGTGGCCGGAGGAGGGGGGGGGGGGTGTTAAAAATAACGAAAATGCTTTACATAAACACGAGAGCTCGATCCGTGGTCGAAAACTCGACCAAAAGTATGTATTGTGCAAACTTCTCTATTTTTCACCCCACGCTGTAAATAAAATATGTGATTGGGATTTCTTCCATTTGCTTAGATTTTCTGTTTATATTTTGTTGTTATTTAGTTACCAACATGGCAACCCATAAGGCCCATGTTAATTTTTGTCAAATTTATTTTTCGTGCTTATTTTTGATCCTATTTTAATTTTTCAAGGGATTCTGCACATCTACAGGAAAATATCTTTCATTTGGTACCAACCCCGTGTAATTTGGTCCAGTAGTATGGTCTGGCTAGCTGTCATAAGTTTTACAAAAGTTTTTTTAGTATATAAGATACTCTAATACTTCATTCAGTTCAAGTATACTAGTCCTACGTCGCCAATACTGAGAGATGGACCACGATCAAGGCAATCCAGCTGCTTAAGGTCGACAACACCTTATTTTAAACTGCGACTGTTCGGATTCTTGACATAACTGTCTCAGCCATAAAGAAAATGTATTTATCAACCATAGCTTCGATGCTGACGTGATTTTGCTGCCAAGACAAACCGACAAAAGGAGATTAAAATGTGAGCGTATCTTTGCGAGCAGTTTTGGTTTCAGGATCTTATTGTTTTCTAAATATGCTCAACAATTAAAATTACTAATTAAAAAAATATATGGAAAGCACTAGGTAAGTTGAAGCTACCGGTGTTTGATTATATATATATTTATTTTTATTTTTATAAATAACTATGATTTAATATGTTGAAATCGTACTGGTGCAACGCCAGGTTTTGAGTGGGAGAATAAAAAATATTTTTTTAGAAATATTAGTTGATTTCCTAATATTTATAAAAATAACAAGACAAGTAAAATAAGACAAAAGCTACATGAAGTCCTACTATCTACAGTTCTATGCTGTAATTGTTGAAAATTCCTAGTATGCTGAAAATTTTAGAACCTTTTACTACTAAACAGCTTTAAATCACGGAATAGGTTACATTCAACGTATTCAATGCAAATTACACATCACATGTTTTCTATGTCAAAGAACAATACAATTGCCCGGTCGCCGGCATGTAGAACATGTTGAAAATAGTATCTGTCGTTTAAGTGGTTTTGTGCCGCTCCGATCAAGCGTTTCGCACGCTAAAAAACTTTAAAGCTTGCAGCGCTGTGATAATTTAACTTCACATTGCTAACAAAATGAATGACTTGTGTTTACAATTCAATAAAAGAACAATTAAAACATAATTTGTTTTTTTAATTTCATTGTGATCACAGTTTACTTACTTACAATGTATATTAGAACTGTAGTTGCTATTATTGACATCATTTTTACCATGTGGCGTTGTGAAAAAAATCATTGAACTATTTTAAAGTAGTAGGGCGATCACATTCCTTTTGAAATAGCCTTGATTGTTTCAATGAATCTTGACCTAGAGTATATTAACTATTGATCTCATTAGTTACAATCCTAACTGCAATTATATTGTTATTATTAACCTTCTTTAACGTTAGTGCTAAGCATAGTTGATAGTTCATTCCTACGTCAGGCATAATGAAGAGGCTAGAGGTGATATAAGGATCCCTCTAATGATAAAATTACAAAGATTTTCTGGTAACTATGGCAACCAAACATTGTCCAAGTGGATGTTAACACTGATACTCAAGATATTCGCAATTGTATTTTGGTAACTATGGAAACTGTGGGCCTCTACTTGACAACAATGATTGTGTACAGGCAATGAATAAGTACAGGTCAGCTTCTTCATTTATATTGATGGATTTCAGATTATTGATGGATTTCAGATATATTTAAACATTCAAATTTCTTCTTTGTTTTTACAGCTTTGTTAAATCAGCAAGAAAAAAATGTAATAATTTTATCCTGACACCAAATATTTTTCCATGTTCCATTGAAATTCACAACCGACAATAATTTGATGCCATATGTCACATGTCACATTTGACATACTTTTCATATCTCAATGATATACTGTAGGCTATGTAGCTGTGAGTGGTGTAACCATTATATATCGTAACACTACCCATCTTCCAAAGGTCAAATCGGACGAAGTAGAGTTAAAAGCATCAATATTTCAGCGTCAGCAACATGGTATTCTTGCTATTTTACTCAGCATGCAAGTTAAGATCACACTGACCATATTTTATCAAGGAAATCTATTATTTTACATAGGCCTATATCTGAATACAAGGTAATTATCAATACAGGGTTTTCATAAAATAATGGGGGGGTTTTTAAATATCTGTAAAACTATTATAAGACAAATTGAATATTTCTTATTGATACCCCTACATCTAATAGCTCGAACAGTTTCGTTTACATTAGTTGAGACAGCTGTGTGGATTGCTGTGCTAATCGACAACCTACTTATTCTTTTAAATAAACTGCAA